TCCTTCCTTCCCTCCCTCCCTCCCTTTCTTCCTTTCTCCTTCCCTCCCTCCCTCCCCTCTTCTTTCTTTTGTTTTGTTTTGTTTTTTTCTTTTCTTTTGCAATCATGACTCACTACAGCCTTGACCTCCTGGGCTCATTCGATCCTCCCACCTGAGCCTCCTGAGTAGCTGAGACTATAGGTGTGCACCACCATGCCTGGCTATTTTTTAAATTTTATTTTTACTTTTGGTAGAGATGAGGCCTTGCTATGTTGCCCAGGCTGGTCTCAAACTCCTGGACTCAAGTGATCCTCTAACCTTGGCCTCCTAAAGTGCTGGGATTACAGGTGTGAGCCACCATGCCTGGCCTGGTATGTTAAAATGTAAAACCAATAAAGAACATAGTAGTTGCTTGAAATAACAGGCAGTCATTGTGTTGGGGAAAGTTAGTGTCCACCAATTCTAGATAGGATCATGTGCTTCATGTTCATCTCTGGAAGTCCAGGGGACTGTATAGGTGTCACTGTAAACACTTAAGGGCAAAGGTGTAAACACCATCTATTTTCTTATCTGAACTTCCAGAAAGAAAGGACTTGGAGGTGACAGAATTGCAAGCTGGAAACAGCCTCCGTGCCTATATTTCTTCTGGAGCCTAACAGAGCCTCCCACATGCATTGAACTGTGCTGTGGGTGAGAAAAAAAAGCCATAAGAAAAAAGGAGGAGAGACAGACACGGGAGAAAAGCCACACTACAACAGAGGCAGAGGTTGGAGTGAAGCATCTACAAGCCAAGGAATTCCGAGGACGGCTAGCAATGCCCAAAGCTAAGAGGAGGTCCTGGAACAGATTCTGCCCTGGAGCCTTCAGAGGGAGCATGGCCTGCCCATGCCTTGATTTTGGACTTTTGGCCTTCAGAACTGTGAGAGAAGTTTCTGTTGTTGTGAGCAGCCATGGGCCACTCACACACGGGCCTCCCCGAGACCCCTGCACAAGCCTTTACTCCCAGGACTCAGCTGTTTCACTGAGTACCAATTTTCCCCCGTGGCACCTGTGTCATATCTGAAGCAGAAGCTTGTGGACAGGGGATTCACAGACACAAATTTGCGATTCTTTTAGGGTAGCATGATATCTCTCCATGAAGGGCCAGCGGTCTTGGTGTGGACTTTGGCTCAATCTGGACTTACTCATCCTTATGGTTCAGGATGCACTTGGACACCAATGCAGCAAGGGCATGGTGCGATTCTTCTGCCTGCTGTTTTCAATTTGTCTTCTTTTCTTTTCTTTTTTCTTTTCTTCTTTCTTTCTTTCTTTTTTTTTGAGACAGAATCTCACTCTGTCACTCAGGCTGGAGTGCAGTGGCATGATCTCAGCTCACTGCAACCTCCACCTCTTGGGTTCAAGTGATTCTTCTGCCTCAGCCTCCCAAGTAGCTGGGATTACAGGCGTGCACCACCATGCCAGGCTAATTTTTGTATTTTTAGTAGAGAGAGTGTTTCATCATTTTGGCCAGGCTGGTCTCGAGCTCCTGACCTCAAGTGATCCCCCGCCTTGGCCTCTCAAAATGCTGGGATTACAGGCATGAGCCACTGCGCCTGGCCCCATTGGTCTTTTCGCTGGTTTTAGAAGCATGGACTCTGATGTTTTGAATGACTTTGAAGCCATTTTTTCTCCTCTCTTGGCAGCCTTCCTGGAAAATGCGTCTTCCGATGCTGCCAAGTCGAAAAGGTAAAGAGAAATCCAATGAAGTGAGGGGAGTGTGGTCTTAGCGCCATCGCCAGGGTGGTCACTGGCAAGTCCTGGCTCTTCCGGGCTCAAGCGGGAGTGGGACCATGGAGCATGGGTGTGCACAGGTACAGGTGTTTAGGGATGAAGCATGTGGATTAAGAGAATGAGTGAAATGGCGGGCTTTCTTCCTGTGGCTTTGGATTAGCAAAGGCGTCTGTGATTGGAACTCTGCTGCACTGCTGATGAGAATGGAAAATGGCGGTTTCTCAAAAGGTTCAACCTACAGTCCCGATAGGATCCAGTAATTCCACTGCTGGGTATAGGCCCAAAGGAATGGAAGGCAGGGTCTGGAAGGGCAGTTTGCATGCCCATGTTCACTGCAGCATGATCCACAGCAGCTGAAATGTGGAAGCAACCTAAATGTCCATGGATGGCTGATGGCATAAACAAAATGCAGCATATCCAGACAATGGAGTATGATTCCCCTTAAAAAGGAAATTCTGACACATGCTTCAACATGGGTGACCCTTGAGGACATCATGCTAGTCACAGAAGGGCAAATACTGTAGGATTCCACTTCTATGAGGGTATGAGGGGCCTAATGTGGTCAAATCCATAGAGACAGAAAGTAGAAGGGTGGGTGCCAGGGGCTGGGGAGTGGGGAGTTGGGGTTGAACGGGGCCAGAGCTTCAGTTTGGGAAGATGAACAAGTTCCGCGGCTGGATGGTGGTGATGGCTGCACAACACCGTGAATGTGCTTGTGATCTGTGTTTTACCACAATAAAAGAAGTGAGGAGTGTGCATGTGTGTCAGGGAGCCTCAAATTCCTGCGCCCAAGGGATCCTCCTGCCTCGGCTTCCCAAAGCGCTGGGATTACAGGCCTGAGCCACTGGGCCATGTACTACAGGCCCTTTCAAGTCAAGGCAGCCATAGCTCCTGCAGCAGCTGGAGCCCCTCCCTACGGGGCCTGACATCCCAGCATTAGTTCCTCTTCTGCTTACACATCCGGCCAGGCTGCTGCACACCCAGAGGAAACCCCCTCCTGCCCATGGCTTCTCCAGCTCTGTTAAAGCGGCATGAAGGCACCTTTGTTTTGTTCCTCACGTTAACTCACCAAATAATAAATCACACACATTACCCAGACCAGGATGTAAGGAGCCTTTCATTTTTTTTATACACAGAAATTTTGGTCTATTCTTTAAGTTAGGAAATTCAACTACAGACTTTAAATTATTATGCATCTGTGATCTTTCTCATTAAGTTTTTTTTGTTCATCTTTGTAACAGGCAGATAAAAATGTAAAACATATTTATGAACTGAACACAGTTGACCAAGCCATTCCAGGTAATATAATGCTTTATAAAGAGGGGCTTCCCAGTGAGACAGGGCCCCCCGCCTGAAGACTGCAAAAATAAGAGCAAAACATTCCAGATCACGGTGCCCCGTTTCTGAACTGCACACCACAGCACAAAGGTGACCTAGGGACTAAACGATCGACATTCACATGAGGCAACTTTATACAGCAGCAGTGAGGGTTTGCTTTTAATATCTATTGGCCATTGGTCCTATCGGTGTGTCTATGACAGAGTGAGAAGAAGCTGGTGATTGCAGCAGCACGCAGCACATCTTCCGCAATGTCAATGTCTCAAATTTGATTTCTCATTGAAGAACACAAAGACCCTCAACAAATGGAGTTGCCCTTTTTCTTGTTATCATCTAAACAAGGACATCAGGGAACAGTTTACAAATGGGTAACATTCTCAATGTGCCCTTTAGAAAAAAGGGATGGCTTTGAGTTATCTGCAGCTGGCATTTTAAAGTGGGATTTTCTTTTCTAGCCAAAATTCTTTTGCCTGAGATTTGACTACTCCTGCTGAGGGGTGACATGGCATTAATGGTAATAGTGGGGATGGTGCCTGCTCCTGTTTGGTTTGTGTGGATGCCAGTGGAGGTATGACAAGCCTCCCGAGGGTGCCAGTCCACATTGGTGGCTTCCATTCCGATCCTCTGTCCCTCAGGTCCCAACTGTCTCCCAGCGGCTGAGCCCCAGGCCCAACCACCTCCCTGCAAAACGTGACACCTGCAAGTGCAGAAGGCAAGGGTCCCCCATGGCATCACTGTGTGGACCTAGGGGCTTCCTCAGGAGGGTGGCAAAAGTCAGGCCCCTCTTTATCCCCTCTGCTTATTTGGGGGAAACTGAGGCTTGGCCACCAGGTGCCCACACTGCCAGGACAGGCTCCCCTCAGTACCTGGTGCTCAGCCACAAATCCATGCCTTCATGGCTTAAGCTTGGCCTCTGGACACAAAGACTAGGGTGGGAAGAGTGCTTTGGTGATGGCATCTCTGGTGTCACAGCAGACATTGAGGTGGTCTACTGAGGACTCCTCGGCATTTGCCAAAGCAAACAGTGAGAGTCCATCCAGGTGCTGAGGAGACAGGGTCTGAACTGTGGCTGCCTCCCTGCCGTCATTCTCCCACCGCCAGCTCCTCTGGGCTTCTGACGCTCCCTCTCCCTCCATTGGCTTCTTTAGAACTCTTGGCCCTGCCCCCACCCCCTAGGATCTGTGCTCAGCTGGGGCTGCTCCCTGGACTCTGGGCAGGACCCACAACTCCAAGAGTGCTTCATGCTCTTGAAGTTGGGGGCGTGGCCAGGATGAAGGATGTGGAATTGCAGCAGAAACCAAAGAAAGCTGAAAACGAAACTCCCATTTCACTAACTGGAGGACTCCTTCTCATCAATATTTTGTTTTTTTCCTTTTAGATTAAAATTTCAATTGAAAGGGTTTTCTCCTCTCTGGCAGGGGTCTCAGTGCAAATGCTCCAATTATACCTGCTCCAGACCTGGAGCGTCCCCTCTCTGCCTTCTTGGGAATCTCAATAGGACCAGGCAGAGGGCAGGAACGAAGGGTGGGGGCAGGGAGATGAGGGACAAAAATGGATTGACCAGAAAGCTATTCTTGCAGTCTAGTTCCCCAAAAACAAAACAAAACAAAACAAAAAACAACAACAGCAAAAAAAAAAACTTGATACATTCAATAATGAAATTTCCAAATGAAAATGCCTGAAAAGAGGAATGCAAATATCATGCCAGTAAATAGTTCCTTATTGAAATATGCTTCTGGCCATATATATGTGCATGTGTACAGATCCACCTACATATATGTGCACACATGCACACACATGCACACTGCAGATGTGCCTAGTTTTTGCTGGGGATGGATTGCTTTGTGGCTGCAGGGCCGCGTGCATGTGGCTCCCTCAGGTGGCACCCTTCCCAGCCCTGAAGAGCACTCAACTTTTTTTTTTTTTTGCATGAATATGCTGACCTGATTGCTCCTTCATGGGTGCAACAAAAGCTCCCAATAAACCCAAAGCAGCCCCCTGCCCACTGCACAGCCCAAAAGCAAACACGCGGTGAAACTGTAGTTCCTTAAAAAAGAAGCATCAATAGAAAAAAAGGTGGGGAACTCAGCTCTTCACACTTTCTACTTCTTCTCCTTCCTCCTTCGGATGAAGAACCTTCTCCTCCCCCTTTTTGTCCTCCTCTTCCTCCTTTTCCTCCTCCCCGTCCTCATCTTCCTCAGTCCGGATGAGGAGCCTGTGGCAGGCTGCACCCTTGTTGAATGGATTTGGCTTCTTGCAAATGCCCTGCCAGAAAGGTCTTCAGCCACCTTAGTTGTTCCCCCGTTTTGCAGGTGTGCAGGTCCCTGTATGTGTGTGTGCGTGCATGTGTGCATGTGACTTCGTGTGAGTCCGAGTGTGCATGTGCACATGTGCTGAGACAAGTTCTTGTTAGAGGGATGTCTCCACGCTGTGGAGCGGGCTCCCGGAACTGGAGGAAAACACTGAAGAGGTGGCTGACTTGGTGACATGCGTAGTCAGGTAGATGCCGCTGTCTATGGCGTTGTTGTTCTGGTTGGGGGATGGGGGCTGGGGGGCCCGGAGGTGCTCCTCGTTCTCGTCCACGTCCGTGTCGTCTATTAGTGGGATGTTGTGGGTGTAGTCATTGATCAGAAACTCAGGCATGGCCATGAAGTTGTGAATGGAGGTCTTGGATTCTGGTTTCTCCAGGCCTTCAAAAAGTGAGCTACAGAACGCTTTCACCACCCGGATCTGGAGTGGGAGATGGAGGGACAGGGCCTGACGTGGGAGCAGGGAGGGAGAAAAGGAAGGGAAAGGAAAGGAAAGGTGGAAGGAAGGTAGGAAAGAAGGAAGGAGACAGTCAGTGGCCAGCTGGTGCTGGTAAGTTCCACCCACATCAATGGCTGGGGGTCATGGCATGAGAAATGTCCACCCATTTGTTGGAGGGCTGCTATGGAATGGGGTGGCTCTGCCTGCCTTTGGAAAGGGTTTTCGGGTGTGGGCCTTGGTCTCGTCAACCGATCTGCATGCAGGAAAAGATGGCAGTGTCTTTCTCTAGGCTCAGCTGCGCAGGTATTCTGGAACTCGAGAGTGCTGCACTAGGCTCGTGGCTGTGACCTCCCAATTCCCTGTCCCGGGGGGACGACTGGCTTCGGTGACCTCCGGGGTCTCTGCCCAATCTGAATTCCAATTTGGTAGAAAAGAAAGACGATTTGAAAAGGAGAGAATGCTGGTGAGTGGGCTCTCTTCTCGATCTTACCAGAAAGTCGGAAGTACCTGCTGGTATAAGCAAGTTCCCAGCCTATGGGCACTGCCGGTCTTTCTCGCATGGGTCTCCCTCCATCTCCCAGCTCCCATGGCTGGAGCTGGGACCTGCCATGCCCAGAGTCCCCCTGCAGCTAACTGCGCTGTCCACTTCTGCATCTTCGTCTTATTTGATCCCTCAGGGCACCCAACACAGATGATCATCCCTCTTTCTGGAAACTTCTCATGGCTTCCTGACATTGCCGCTGCCTGGCCCTCTTCCACCTCACCAGCTGCTCTGGCTCCGTCTCCTCCACTGCCCTCTCTTCTGTCCCTGTGTGCCCCAGAGCTCTGGCTTGGCTCTGTCCCTCCTCCTCTCTGTCCATATCTCTCCGCCGTGGCCACCGTGCTGGGGCCAATCTGGCTATAACAAGGAACTGTGGCCCAGGCCTGTACTCAGAGCTCCAGGCCAGAGAGCCCAGCAGTCCCCAGCTGGAGGTATTTGAGACGAAAATGGCCACACTCTTGATTTGCACCCACTAAAGCCTGTCTCTGCTCAGATGCCCCTGTGGCCTCCTCATAGCCCCCGAGTCCGACTGGGTCTGGTTCAATCTGGTGCCCCTGCTCCTCTGGCCTCATTCCCCCGTCCTCTCTCCCGTCTCCTCCTCCATCTTCCAGTCAGACATTCCAAAACTTGCGTCTCCACCACCCCCCCGGGCTTCGCTCTGTGTTGTTCCCTGGCGGTCCCTCCCCACAGGAGTTAGCAGACCTCAGATCAGCAGAACTCCCTGCAGGAAAGACCTCCCGCTGTGCCCCAGACTCCCCCAGCACAGTGGCCCTCTGCCCCCAACTGAGCTCATGGCACCTCTGAAGCCCCCTGACCCTCCAGCAGGGCACTGCTCCAAGAATGAGCTCTTCCCTCCTCTGGCTTCTCCACCTTGCCTCACGCACTCAAGTCCTTGCTGCCTCTCTTTGCTCCCTGGCCCCTCAGCCTGGGCTCCTTCCTGCTTCTAGAAGCCAGGAGTTGATGGGGAGACTTCTGCCTGGCCTCGCACAGGCCAGCGTCAGCACAGCCGCCAGTGGTAGCTGGCCCACCTTGTACTGCCGTCCCTATAGGGGGCAGCAGACAGAGCGCTGAGCTTCCAGGCAGACCCTGGGGTTCATCCAACACCTGTCCACCCCTCCCTATGTGAGCAGGTGGACACATTAGGAGTTCTAAAGCATTTCTGGGGCCAAGGTTCTATTTAGGATTTGGTTTTCTGGATTTAGACAAGGTGTCAGGGCTTACTCAAGGGCTAACCCCAGCTCTCTGCTAGTTTTGGTTAATAAAGTTTTACTGTTTTAAGGGCACAGTTGTGTCACGGCAGCAGGGACCACGCCTGGAAAGCTAAAAATATTTCCTCTCTGGCTCTGTATAGGAAAAGTTAGCCGCCCCCTAGTTTAGACAATGAATCACCTTTTTTCAGTGACTTTCAGCCCTGCAGGGGCTCAGCTAGGCAAAGCACAGTGCTCCTGAACAGTTGAAATGATGCCAACCTCATCACCTCTCCAGTGCAAAAAGTGAGCCAGGGCCAGGTTTGGTGGTCCACGGCTGTAATTCCAGCACTTTGGGAGGCTGAGGTGGGCTGATCGCTTGAGACCAGTTGTTTGAGACCAACCTGGGGAACAGAGTGATACTCCCTGTTCCTATTTAAAATAATAATAATAATAATATAAGTGAGCCAAAAAGCTCCATATTGGAATTTTCTAGCACCCTATCTGAAATCTGGTTAGGATTTTCTCTGGATTCGGGAAAGTCACATCTACCAGATGGCAGATGGTCAGCTATTCTCACTCAGGCCTTTATCTCCAGACTGGTTTCTGAATTAGTGGTAACACAGAAATTGAGAATAATTTGACATTTTTAATGAAAAGAAACAGAATTCACCTTTTGTAGCCAATGCAGATGTTGCCTCATTATTTAGGCCTTTTCTGGTACAGGATTGTGGTATGGAAGCTGCCTGGGACATTGCCTACTCCAGCTGTTGCCCATGCCCGTCAAGTCACAAAAAGGACACAATGCTGCAGGCCTTGACCCCAGGGCTGTGTGGGGTGAGATTGCTGGCAGTACACCAGGTGACCTTGGCCACACCCTTCTCCTCACTGAGCTGGTGGCCTCATTCAGACCTGGGGCATGTGATCAGGCCAGGCCCCTGCTCAAACCTATGCACAGGTTTCACAGCACCTGGCTCAACTCCAAAGACCTCCACAAAGGGCAGCCAGGCCATGGAACCAGTCCTTCCTTCCAGGCTGGGCTTCTGCTGCTACTGCTACTCCAGTCCCACCAGCTGCTCCAGCGTGCCCCTCCCGGATGGCATCTGCCTTGTCTGTGGCTTAACACCAGAGCCTGGCCCAGAGCAGCTGCTCAGCAGACACTTGGGGAATGCACAAGTGACTGAGTGAACCACTGCAGGATGGAAGGGCTGCCCCTCAACTTTCTGCTGTTCGGGGGTGCTAAGCTTGGCTGGAGTCTTGGTGAGTCTGTTACAGCTGACAGTGAGTCAGCTTTCTCCAGGCTCTATTTTCCCTGCATTCTAATCCTGGGCCATTAAACAATGTTTTGGTGTTGGTCTTAGGGTAGGGTGTTTTCAGCCCACCCAACACTGAAGGATGCAGTCAATTCCCAGGAGATTGATTCAATGGAAAGCAGCAAACAGTTCTAAGAGAGGCCCATCCCAGAGGGCTGCACTCCTACCTGGGTGCTCGAGGATGCCCTCCTTCCACCAGCCTGGGTTCACTCTGTCCTCATTTCAGGCTCCTGCACCACCTCCTGCTCTACTCCCAACCCAGGATGTGCCCCCCTCTACTACTCCCAAAGGAATCTCATGGCCCCCAAGGCTGTCAATGCTGTTTATAGACTATCAGGTCACTGTAAATACTGCAGATACCAGCTGCACCACGTCCACCTTTTCCTGGACTGCCAGACTTCTGCCCTGGCTGCCTCCCAGGTGTCCCCCCTTCGACGCCTAAGGGACCTCTCAAATTGCAGGAGGCCCAGGGAGAACTCTTATCAGTGCTCCAGCTGAACTCTGCCCACCAGCAGCCTTCCCAGTGCAGGGCTCTGGCCAAACCTCAGAGGTGCTTTGACGCCCTGACCCTATGCACCAGACATCCGCATGTCCTGTGGGCCCTACCCTAACTGAAAAGCATCTTCCACATCTGAGCCTCTCCCCACCTCCATTGCTGGTGCTATGTCCTGCCTGGGGTCCTGGGGTCCCCTTGGGACCGCAACCCCCACCAGCAAAGCCCTCTATCCTTCCTGTCCCTTCTCCAGGTGGAGTTTCTGAGCTCTCTCTGGCTGCCGAGTCAGACTCTTGGTCCCCCATCTGGCTCCAAACCTTCCAGTAGGCAATGGAACTGGCCTGCGTCCTGACTGTGTGGAAATTCATTGAACTGTACCCCAAAAAGCCCGTTTCACTGTAGGACAACTTAAAAAGAAAGGAAAAGAAAGCATTCTTCAGGGAGAGATGCCCCTAGGAGGGTCAGGTTGGGCTGGGGGTTCCCCATCTCATCCGGGGGAGGTGAGGTGGCTCCCCACTATGCGTGCCCACCTCCTTGTGTCCTCCTGCTGTCTCCCTCTGCCACACTTCTCTGTTCCCCATCGTGGCTGATGACCCTGAGAGGCCACAGTCCTTTACTCCTCATAGTCCCCCAGCGCTGTCCAACACTGCTCCAGCCCCTCCTCCTCTTCCATCCCTGACACCCGAGGGCCTTTCCTCTGGGTCTAGGTACTCTCTTCTGGTCCTCGGCCTTCCATTCCATCTGCTGGCTAACAGCCTCTTGGCTCCGGCTCCGGCTCCAGACTTAGGCGTCTAAGCTGTGTCTCAAACTTAGCAGGCCCAACCCCCTGGCCCCAGCCCCGTGGCTCCCTTCAAACGCCATCCAGAACCTGCCCTTCGTCCCCACCCCTCCATGCCCTTAGCATGGCAGCCCAAAAACCAGAGCGTGTCTTGGTCTCCCTGGCTACAAGCCCTCCACTGGCTGTGGCCCTCAGAGCCTGCCCCGGTCTCTCTCACTCTGCCCTCTTTTACCCCTCAGCCTCCAGCACATCCCACCTGGGGGTCTTTGCTCCGGCCACACCCCACACTGGGAAGGCTCCCCTCACTCTTGTCTCCCCCAGCAGCACGGTGCCCACTTCTGCTCCTTCCTTCAAGTGCCCCCTCCATCTGCCCTTCACTGGAAAATATCTCCCTGGGGCAGGGGTCTGTTTGTCTGGCTCACTGCACCCAGCAGGGGCTCAGTGGACGAGGCTGAATATCTGGGGCCCACATGGCCTGGCATCAGTCTCCTGTGCTGGCTTCAGCCATCACCATGGCTCTTTGCCCACTTTGCGATGCCCAGCTGGCTGGAGCTGTTTCTGAACGCCCCACGCAGGGGCTCCCCGGAGCCATGACCCCTGCCCTTTCTGCTGCCTGGCTGGCCTTTCTCTTTCCTCTGAACTTAGCTCAAGTACGCATCCTTAGAGAGGC